CTTCCCAGAAACCACACCACTTCCCAGAAACCACTTCCCAGAAACCAGCCCCCAGAAACCACTCCCCAGAAACCACTTGGTTTGAAACCACTTCCCAGAAACCAGCGTCCAGAAACCACTTCCCAGAAACCACTTCCCAGAAACCAGCCCCCAGAAACCACTTCCCAGAAACCACTTCCCAGAAACCACTTCTCAGAAACCACACCACTTCCCAGAAACCACTTCCCAGAAACCAGCCCGCAGAAACCACTTCCCAGAAACCACTTGCCAGAAGCCACTTCCCAGAAACCACTTGCCAGAAACCACTTCCCAGAAACCACTTCCCAGAAACCACTTCCTAGCCTCGGGAGACCATTTCACCCGCGTTCCGAAACAAGACAAATCCAGGGTCCGAAACGAGACGAATCCAGGTTCCGAAACGAGACGAATCCAGGTTCCGAAACGAGGCGTCGGCCATGACTAGGGGGTTGGTGGGGCCCAGTTGGGGTATGCTCCTTGGGGGTTCAACTTCCTGAAGAATGTGTGATCATGAAGCCTGTGGGTTCTGCAAATCGCAAAACAAAAGATCCCGGTGGTTCAAGAGGTCACTTGTGGCCTCAACATGGTGACATCAGTCCAAAAAAATGAAGCTCTCTCGCCTTCGCTCCATATCTCTTTGTTCACTTGGAACCTCCAGCTGAGTTGTATTTGCCCACCTCGCAAGAGATGCCAGCCACGGGAGTTTCCAAGTAAGAAGAACCAAATCTCTCCATCAAGTTCGACTGTGAGCGTAATCTTAACGAAATGTGTTCGTTTGTTTCTGCAGAACCTTCTAAAAGCCCCTCAGAGGAAGGAATCTACAGTAGCAAGTTTTGTTAATGGTTCTTCCAACGTCTCCACACATTCTTCCAAATGGCGACCCCCAAACCCACCCACAAAATATTCTTCCACTCGAATCCTGCACCGAAGTTCCAACAACATACAACAACACATGGTGCTAGCATTCGGATTTCATAGAGAGGAACACAACCATTGTAAAAAGATTTCACAAGAGAAAACCGAGCCACGCAGCGGCACGACTTCCAGAGCGTTTCACGACACAGCGCCGGCGATTGTCCCGTTCCGCCCGCCGAGTGGCTTCGGTGGTTCCAAGCCGTCCGCCTCCTGGTTGAGTCGGTTGTCTGCTGGCTGCTTCGGGGAGGACTCCCTGGCCTTCCCTCCGGTCCCAGCTGAGAATATCTGTGGTCCCAGCTGAGCCAGGTGTGCTCCTAGGATTAACTCGCCGACCAGACCGAAGTGAGCGATGTGCCGTCCGGATAGGCCTCGATAGGCCCGCCAAAGTCCACGTTTTAGGAAACAAGCCCGCCCGATCACAGAGGTTGTCAGGCCCACACGGAACAAACACCTCCATTAGAGGTCTTGGACACTCATCTTACACTGAAAACAATGATGGCATTATATGGCATTGTTGCCCTTGAGTCATGTCGCCCCTGATGTTCTCTTTGTACAGAAACCTCCTTCGACCAATCAGCGAACTCAATTTACCTCCTTGGAAGGATGCCTCCGGTGGCTCCCCAAACGTGAGGCACAGATCAATCCCCAAAACCTTCCAGAGCAGCAAAAGCCTCAAGCGATCTCCACTGCCCTTCGGTGTCTCAAAACCACCGACCACCCGCAATTGGAAGGACTCGCGGGAAGCTCCTGCACCTGTGAAATTCGAGCTTCCAGCTGCGACTGTAGGGCCTGCGACTGGGGCAGAAGATCGACATGCATGTGGACCCGGAGGCGTGAAGTAACATGTTACTTCTGCTTTGCTTAAAGACATCATCTACATTAACAAAAAAACACGAGCAGACCACACAGATTTTAGTCCAAAAAACATTGCTTGAACAAATGAACTTTGGGAGGTCAATGGAGGTTCGCTTCAAAGAGCATAACATAGTAGAACAGTCGTTTTGGACGCAAAGCATCATCAGCCGTTTGCAGTGGGTGTCCCATCAACTACCTGATTGAATGAGGATGGCTATACCGTATATCTTCTCTGCAGTAGGAAGAATAGAAGTAAAACGAGTCAAAGAAAAGCGATCAAGTCATGTCCAATGGACTCAAAGCTTGGAGTGTGCCAACACCCCGCTCCATTCGCCACGTTGGCCCAAGCTGGTGACCCGACCACCGAGGCTGAACACTGAACACTGCAATCACGTCTGTTCCGGTGCTCCCCTGACCCGTTTGAGCTGTGAGAGGTCAACTGGGATCCCATTCAAGCCCTCAACAGCGGCCAGCGGCCTCCAAGGCGTGGTTGTTGCTATGCTTGACGGGGCATGGTGGACATGCACCACCAGTGGATCCTATTGAACTCTCACTTTCACAGCACAACAGGTAAAACCAAAAGCATGGGCAGTGCCACCTCCAGCTCTGAAAGCCCAGAGGTATCGCCTGGCAACATCTGGGACGTTCATGCATCCTCTCAGCGACGGCTTCTCAGTCCAAGAATCTCATCTACTTCTCAGTCCTTTCGATGAAGAAACGAAAACAGGCTGTTGGCTGCGCTTGGGAACCCCCCATGGGTCGCTTGGGGACCTGACACCAAGCCCTAGAAAAACCTCATGGATTTCGCGGAGTGAATCCTTTCGGAGAGTTTGGCACCCATTTTGGAGGTTCATGATGAGATGGAAAAGGTCCATGCTGTTGTGCTGCCAAAACGTGTAGGTTTCTGCAAACACACGCAAGCATCCCAGTGAGCTCCTTCCAAATGCATGTGTCCTTTTCTATCCTTTTCTTGTCTTCTGGAGTTTGTGCTCACGGTTTGTTCGTTTGTTGTGCTTCTACTTCTGCTCTCAATTGTTCTTGTGTGTTTATCTTTGTGTCTGCCCACTTATGTGTCTTTCTCTTGATTTTCTTATTCTCTTTTGCAAGCTGTCAGAATCAGAAGGCGACGATTGACACATGTCCTTTCAACGACACCTCGCAAATCACGGCATATTCAAACGACTGAATTCACCAACTGCACCTCCAGGCGGTCTCAAAATGGGAAAACCCTTGAGGACCAACTGGGATGTTCCTATGTTGGGGGAACTATTCCAACTCAAAAACCAGCTTTGATCCTTCTAACCCCTCCTCCAACCCAGTGTCCATTTCCCCAAAAAGCAATTGCCGGTGGCCTGGAGCAAAGCTCTGCGCCAGCTTTGGGCCCATCGTGCGACTCAGTCCACCCACCAGGCCCCTCAGTGCGGACCGCGGCACGTCCGTGCGGACCGTGGCCATCGAAACGCGGCCCAACAAGAGAAAGGGGGGCACTCAGTCCCACTTGCGTTCACGAAATGGAACACCACGAGGATCAACGCAAAAAAGGGGTCGATTGAGGATCAGACGCCGGAGTTGGTGGACGATTGGAGGTGTCAACAAGACAGCGTAACATGTCGTCTGCGCCTCTGGAAGAGGTGGCGCTCATCTTCCACTCTCCAAAGGTGTGGGGCAAACTGTTCCTAACACATCCAATGGTCTGTACTATCTCCTGGATTATTTGTTCATGGGCCATGCATGGGACTTAAAAAATCTTGAAAAAGTCTTTTGAATCCAACTGGTCACCAGTTCTTCACCAAGACCTCTTTGAATCATCCATTTGACTCTTCACCAACGCCCTCCGAACCCGGGCCCCACCCGCGCTCCTCGGGTCTCCGCGCGCCGACACCGAGCCGGTACCGCTCCGGCACCGCTCGGGCTCGGGGCCCAGGCGGTGAGGCCGAGGCCGGCGCCTCGGGCGGAAGGGATGCCGGGCGTCCAAATGAGAGAAGTGGAATCGAAAGTGAGAGTGAAATGGATGGAATGGGACTTAACAAAAGTATATACTGTAATAAAATATACAACATATATACTGAAGAGCAAAGATGTTTGACTTTCAAGCTTTCAGAGGTCTCAGACCGCAAGCTCAGCTCCCCGAGTTCCCCCAAAAAATGACGATCAGCTCCCCCCAACAATCTGAGTTCCGAGATTCTTCCAGAAATGCCCCCTGACAGCAGCGTGCACCAACGAGTGGACACCGAGAACCCCCCGGTCCCTTTTCTCCGCCTCGACCGGGAGCCTCGTCTGGGTGCCTCCGCTTCTTGTCTCAACTCGAAGAACCCTCCTCACCACGATGGACCCTTTGGCACCACATGGCAGCACGTCCACCACGCGTCCGCGCGGATCCAGGATCCGGATCTCATGGTGTGCCTGGCGGACCCAAAGGGCGGACGCACTGAAACACAAGGAGCCGTCTCTGGTGGTAGAAAAGAAAGAGCCCAAAAAGAAGGGGTCTTCAATTTACAGCAGTACTTGTACAACATGTCAATTTGCTTGGGAACTGTCCTATAAGTTGGGCTTTGCCCCGGCACAGTAACAGTGACCACAAATCATACCACAAAAAAAAAGCACAGCAATTTAGCCATAGTTGGCATTAGGATGACTTTCATTTGCCCTTTCCAACGCTGGCTACATTAATCATGTGCTACAAAACCCTCAAGTCAACCCGATGCTTTTTTTCATCTGAGCGCAAGCAGTGAAGAAATGATCGACAATATCGATCCAGTCAAAAAGGCTTGGGGATTCTGCTGCCAGACAAAATGAGCTGGGCAGAGCTGGGCTCTGGCAGGCCTGGTAGAAGGG